AGGCTTATAATTGAGACCTTAATCATCCTTAGTCGGAAATATAGTATATAATTTTTCATTTGGATTGGTTCAACTTAAGGAAATTCTATATATGCGTTCTCAAATTCGATTATGATTACGGCATCCCGCTTCATAGTCAAATTTTGAAAACATGGCAAATAAAAAGATTGTAGCAAAAGACTGGTCTAGAATCATGTCTTTATGGGAGACATCATGAATCGTGTACCATTTGCTTTGGGTACAGGGATCGATTGCTGTGCTATAATTTTGTCATTTCTCTAAATTTTTCCAAATGCCCAGAGGCATTAAGAAGGGAAAAGGTCTAGAATGGATATGACTTAAAATGATTTAGCAATTGTCAAGGACAATCTGAGGTTTACCAAAGATTGGTTGCTCAGGGACAGTTGGAAGTATAGTGCTAATTTTGGAAGCACCATATTTGACATATTCTGAAAAGAGCATCTCTTAGTTCAGAAGTGATAGTCAAAATGAGAATATGGAGTTGTGCTCCATAGGTGAAGTTATCTGTGTAAGATTAGAAAACTTAATGCAAGAAGCATGTCCAAAGCAATGTACTTTGAATATGAGACTTAGTTTCCATGGAGTTGATCTCCATTGGAATACCTTATAATGACTGTTTGACAAGTCTTTGTGACTTTGTACATATTCATTACAGGAAGGTCATGCATATAAGTTTAAAATCTAAACAATTTCGATAAATGATAGAATTTGAAATTCTCACATTTTTCGATAAGGATTTGGGAGTGTGAAATTAGAATCATTGAAATTATGTTCAATTGGTTTATTTCACAAAGTAAGGATCATAGACAAACATAGAGTGCATACTGGTGTATGGCAAAGCTATTTTTAAGAAAAACATAGTGTACATGCTTGGAGCATGGGACAACTATGTTTTTAATTCAAGTATAAAGTTGATAAAACGAAACAATGAATAATGAGTAATAGTATGGGGATATAAAAGTGTTTATTTATATTCATAAGGTTTGATGCCATATTTGATTCATTATTCTTGGTGTTCACTTTGCATGTTTTGACTTCCAGAATAACTAAGTCGCTCTTCTTGAATGATTAAGTTATTCAAACCATCCCACAGTCCGGTCATATGTTTGGAAGTAGATATGAATCAAGACTGTCATGGGTTGGTTTGTAGAGGTCCAAGTTGGTGACAAAGTGATGCTACAACACTCATGAGTGCTCATAGTTCTAAGTATTGGATTCAACCCGCGCTCATTTGAATCACTTCATGGATTTATCACGAGTGATCATGAGACGATAATATATTATATTCTTCAAACCTAGAGATATGAGTTGTTACTATGAGTTGGTTAACATTGATTGCACGAAAACGCATTTGGTAACTCGATGTTAAAAAACTTGCCTTTGTGTATGATTCACAAGTAGTAGAACAAGCCATATGAGTCGAAGTTTATCCATTCCTTTTACCTTCGGGATAAACGATATCTGTGGGCCCCTTGATGATTTAGCGATGACACATGTGAGTGCTTGGCCAGCCAGGACTGATTTGATTTGTTCAATCAGTCAGTCATCATAAATCGAAAATCGGGAAACACAAATGGACAGAGAGAATGATTATAATCCATGTCTCAGTCCATAGGATATCTAGAATGGAGGAATATATGATCCCTTATCTAATGGACAAGTCGTTGACAAGGTCAGAGTTCGACAGCGGCTTTAAGAGCTACGATTGTCAGTTAGGTTTTGAAGTCATACTCAATAATAGTTTTAGACTTATCCAAGTGGGAGACTGTTGGATAATGTCTAAGTCCATAACTATATTTGGTATGTACTTGACCCGACCCGGCATGGTCCATTTGGGTTGCACTTCACCGGCACAATTTATATGGATAGTCTTTTGAGAATAGTATATTTATGATTTATATTAATATATTATAAGTTCTAATATATTAATATGAAATCATATTATTTAATTAGTATTGATCAAGAATTTATTTAGAATTAATTAAGTGATCAAAAAGAACTAATTAAATATGGACTCTTATAATATGGAATGGGCAAGTTCATTTAGGTTGGGCTAAGCTTTCATGGATGGTCCATGGAGCTTTAACCCATGAATCCCTATGTAAATGAAAGGTCATGGGTATTAGGGTTTACATGGATGTAACCCTAATCCTCCATAATACATAAAGGGGTCCTTGGCTCACAAAATTGGCACAAGTGTGTGAAAATAAGAGTGGGCCGATTTTAGTGTGCATACATATTCTCTCAAGTTCTTCCAAGGTGTTTTGGTGATTTGTGATTCCATTTGAGGCTTCCACACTATTGGGGCTAAGCTCTTAAAGCTTGAAGAAATCAAGCACCAACAAAGAGGTATGTAATTCTACTAGATTTTATATTACATGTACTTTATATTATGCTAGTTAGAACAATACCTTGGAAAATTGATATTTGCATGTATAATAGAGAAAACATAGATCCAATGTATTTAGGGTTGCATGTACACCATAGGTGTGTTAGAATGCTCAAAACCCAACAGAAGCTTCTTAATTCTCTTTGATGGTGAGTTCATCAAATAGTGGGGGAAATTGTTTGGCACTTTCTCCGGCTTGTGTTCTAGGTATAGATGTTCAATGTAACAAAAGTTGGAATAATTAGGATCATCACACACACCCACACACAAAATAACATCTTACTTTCAACCTTTTTTTTGCTATCTTTCAAATACAAACCCAACTCAGGAAATAACAGTGTACTTAATTAATCCAGTAAAATTTTCTTTCTATTCATTCAAATTTTATTCCATTGTTTTCGAGGTCTAAAAAGAAAAAGATAATAAGTGTGTGATGACAAAGCTATGCCTAAAATAAACCATTGTTTCTCGAGGTCAATCCGCCTTAGCTTTTATATTTCGTTTAAATAAGTATGTATCCAGCAGTGATGATGGTAGGGTAGTAAAATCTCAAAAACCCATACATGTAATAGAAGTATTTATTCTTTTCTTTTGGTTGCAATGTACTTTGAAAAATCAGCCCAAATTAGTAGAATTTTCAAAGTACAATGCTGATAAGAAGAAATGAAAATTGATGCTAAAATATACAGATTAAAAAAGGTATAATATTATAATCGGAAAAAATTCCAAGTACTTTAATTTATTTGTTTATTATAACACACACACACACACTTTATTGAATACAAAAAGCACAAGGTAGAAAACAAAAACATAAGTGTATGTTTGAAGCATAAATGAAGTTGCAGCATGAAGGCATGATCAAGCTTATCTTTCCCTTTGAAAATGATTATTTTGCCATTGGATAGTTAAAAAGAGAATATCACAAGAATCCATTTTATAATTCTTTTACCCGTTGATTTGCTATAAATTAAAAAAATGATTATTTTTGCAATGTTATAAACCTTAATAAAAGGATAGAAGAGAATAACAAATTTGGTCCATGTGGTGTAGTATATCGTTCTATTTCAGTTTTGGTCCAAGGGTAAAATGGTCAGTATCAAATTTTGACATATAGAACAAACTTGATAAGAAACTTTAAAATAAAGACCAAAATTGCAAGAGATCTTTTTGGGACAAAAAAAATGCAAAATTAGTTGTACTCAGGACCAGATTAGTAATTCACTCTTTTATTCTTACCTTTAAAATGGCAATTTTTAATTTATTGAAACATTGTATGTATGAAGTTCATACAATGTAATACCCACAGATAATGAGATACTAAGGAATTCATAGTCAAAAATCAATATATTTAAGTAAATATCAAATAAACAAATTGAAGAAGAAACTGTGTTTCCTTTGCCAAAACACTACTATATTAATAAAACAACAATACAATATTCATAAAACAAAAGAAAAATGTTTTAAATAATCATGTAGTTATAACAAAGAAAAATGTTGTGTTTGGATGACAATTAGCTTCTCATAGTGCCACCTGCAACTTCCTTTTTATGTTTCTAAACAATAACATTACCTATTTAATCATTTAAACCCTATAATATGAAAAAAATTCCAGATTAAACATAGGTCAAACTTGGAACTTATGCCCTTGCTTTCAGATTCAATGTCATATCATTCTCAGATTACAATCAAGTGTATAAAATCATACATACATGTCACCCTGCTCACTATTTGCATCAAAATCAAGATTTCACCAAGTGAATCCTTGCATTACAGCATAATCTACAATGAAAAAGAACCTAAGCACAAAAGCATTGCCATTAAGAAAATTTTCCTTACCATTTTTAATTGGTTTAATAAGAGACAAGATTGTAAGGAAGGGAGGGATTACTGACACACCAATTTATAACTTCATAACCGTGAGAATCATCCATCTTTTGAGATTTGAAGACAAAGTACTTGTATACTTGGGATGTGTTAAATACTTGTTGTGCTAACCATTTTTATATTAGGAGTGGACCTCTAACAACCTGATAATTACAAAAACTCCAAAAGCTATATAAAAAACAAAACTTAAATATAACTGTTGAAATCTCAAATGGGAAAAAGAAGTAAAGTGAATAGAAACAACATTTACATCTTTGGAAACAAAAAATAAGTAATTTTTTGTTAACATGAAAATATATGAAAAAATTAAGATCATTTAATAGACAAAAAGATGATTGTAAAACAAATTAGAACTAGAACTTGAAATGTCTCCATATATGAAAATCTTAATACTTAATATAATTGAACTAACCAGAGCTTGAAATGACTCAACAATCCACAACTTCATGTATGGTTGTATGGTGAATCATATACAACGCCATAGGGACATGGTGCATTACACCATGTTAAAAAGAAACATCCCACCACGGTCTTGATCTTGACTGCTCTCAGTACTAAAATTATCATGTCTTTGTGAAGGAAACTAAAAATTGAACATTTATAAAAAACAAACACAAAACATTTATAAAAACCTAAATTATATTCTAAAGCATAAGGTTTGAAACATAGAGTGAAAACAACAACTAAACATAATACTAAAAACAAAGCATCCTAAACTCAACAAAGTTAACACAAACATGCCCTTTAAAAAAAAATTAACACAAACATATTAAAACCAACTTATAGAAACATCAAGCCTCCACATCCGACTCATCAAGGAGTTTCATGGTTCGATTTCGATTGTGAATGCAAACCCTGACTTTCTTTTTTGTTTGTATGACATCCTCTTCCTCATCATCATCTAAACAGAGGTCCGCAACTTCATCCCACTTCCACTGTGTTAGAGCTAAAACCCTTTTTCTTTTCCTTTCGAATTGTTGATCTTCTTTAGCAATTTCAGAAACCTAAAATAAAAAAAACATCATAAACTATTAACAATTGATGAAAAGGCGAACAATTTTTACCTCTTCCGAAATAACATTTTCCAAAATGGATTTATAAGGATTGAAGTGAGGAGAATACTCAATTATCTCAGTAGAGTCACTTTCAGAATCAATGGATTTGGCTGATATTGTTTGAAGGTTGGCAATTTCATGAACGACTTCAGTGTTCTTCATTATGCAACGATAAGAAATTAAAATCATATATCAAAAACCATAGCAAATGGCCAAACATAAACGATAGTTAGATTGAACAATATAAATAAAATCAACGATTTAATCAATTTTGAATTGAGATAACTACAATTAAGCAGTAAAAAAAGTAAAATTTTCCAAACACAGGAATCTAAATCCAAACATCTATTCTAGAAATTTTACCTTCGGTGAAATTCTTTTAACGGAAAAGCCAATTTCTGGTCCATGATTGATCAACCAATAGATAGATTAAATTGATGGAATAGCGAATACATTCAAAGAAACAACCTCTTATATAGGCAGAGCAGTTACTACAACTACCTGATGTTTAGGGCTTATGGAGGTGGGTAGTTGAACTTGGAGGGCAGAAATGTTATCTGTGAAAGGGGACGAACGTCGTAGGGAGAGAGTGAAGTTTGTAGAAGGAAACATGGAGGAGAAGTGGGAGGTTGAAGACGTACTGGGCAACGTAGAGAAGAAGACAGAGCTCGACCAAAAAAATGTAAAAAAAAACTATAAATAAGAAGTTTATGTGGCTGCGATCAAAAGTTGAAGAGATCCAACGGTTATAAATGACAAAACGGTTATTTGTGAACCGGTGTTAGTAATAATAATAATTATATATTTCTTTTTCTGAAAAAGCCATAGTTTTTAAAGGAAAAAATAAAACATTTGATTTAAGAAAACAAAACAAAGTTTTATATCTTTCATGAAATTAACGAAATTAACCTCTAATCTTTAGCCAATCTCTCCTTGAAAATGTTTTGGCTAGGGTTTTAAATCTTTTAAGTTCTTATTATTAATGGTTTAATTTGGCAAATATCAGCCACAAGTTACCATGACACGTACTCCTCCACAATCCACCAGTAGAAATCAGACATTCTTCAACCAGATAAGGCCTAGATAAGGCCTACGTTCTCTCATCCCTCAGATGGATACTCGCTTCATCCAAAGGCCAAAATTTCCTCGCTTATCTAATCCCTTCACACCCATCAAACTCTATACATCACGCCACACTTCTTGCCCACTACACACAAGTCACAACCCACCACCACCACCAATGGCAACCGCCGCATCTGCCGCCGCCGCATCCTCCTTCATCGGAACCCGTCTCCCGGACCTACATTCCAACTCCGGCCGAGTTACAGCTAGATTCGGATTCGGAAAGAAGAAAGCCGCCCCCAAAAAAGCATCGAGAACCGTAACATCTGATCGCCCCTTATGGTATCCCGGCGCAAAAGCACCGGAGTATCTAGACGGGAGTCTGGTCGGAGACTACGGGTTTGACCCTTTCGGTTTAGGTAAACCGGCAGAGTATTTACAGTTTGATTTGGACTCGTTGGACCAGAACTTAGCGAAGAATTTGGCCGGAGACGTGATCGGAACCCGGTTCGAAGATGCGGATGTGAAATCGACACCTTTCCAGCCATACAGCGAAGTGTTCGGGCTTCAGAGGTTTAGGGAGTGCGAACTCATCCATGGCCGGTGGGCTATGTTGGCTACCCTCGGTGCTCTCACCGTCGAATCCGTCACCGGTGTTACATGGCAAGATGCCGGAAAGGTACGTACGTACATGTTATACATTTGATTAGTCGATGATTAAGCATAAACCATGAAAATTAATCGATTTTCTTGTATTGTTTTTCTGTAGGTTGAACTAATCGATGGATCATCGTACCTTGGTCAACCACTCCCATTTTCCATCACCACTTTGATCTGGATTGAGGTTTTGATCATCGGCTACATTGAGTTTCAAAGAAACGCTGAGCTTGATCCTGAAAAAAGGTTATACCCCGGTGGTCCATTTGATCCGTTGAACTTAGCCGCTGACCCCGAGAAGAAAGCCATCCTACAACTGGCGGAGATCAAACATGCCCGTCTTGCCATGGTGGGATTCCTTGGGTTTGCCGTTCAAGCAGCGGCCACCGGAAAAGGTCCTCTTAACAACTGGGTTACTCATTTGAGTGATCCACTTCACACTACTATCCTTGACACCTTTGGCTTCTTCTCGTAAAATCGTTTTTGGGGATTCCGTTGATAAATATATATATCATCACCGATGTAGTTTTATGATTACGTCTATCTTGTAAAGTTTGTAACTTTTGACAAATCAAGCGGAACAATATATTGCTTTTTATTGTCACTTCGCATGGATCGAACCTATGACACTTGTTCTTGTTGTTGCTTTGTTTTTGTCAATGATGAGGGGAAATCTGTATAAACCGTTTGCTTTTGATATTTAAATAAACAATAAAGAATTTACATTAATTAACTAACTGATAGGATAATAATTTTGTCGCCTTTTCATAATTAAACAACTTATTACTTTATTTTATATATTTAACTATTTAAATTATTATATGTTTTACATATTACGGTTGTAACCGGTTATAACAAGTAACAATGGTAATATGTGAACACATTTAACAAATTAAATGGTCAAATGTGTATAAAAAAATAAAGTTGTCTAAATGTGAACAAAACGAAAATTTAATTATCATAATAAGTTATTTACCCCACTTTTAATTAGGCGTGATCGTTGTTCGGTTGTTTTACGGTTTGGCTTTCGGTATTAAACTTTTCAAACCATAGTAAACAGTTTGACTTACGGTTTTTAAGATTTCAAACCATATAAAAACCGGACTGGAGCATATATATATATATATATATATATATATATAGATATATATATATATATATATATATATATATATATATATATATATATATATATATATATATATATATATATATATATATATAGGGAAGGGTTATTTGGAAAACAAAAAACCCTAAAAATCATAAAAATGCATAAAAAAAATACTTAGAGATCACAAAACTTTTTTTGAAAAAATCGCAGCTTTTTATACAAAACTTTTGAATTTTTTTTTTTTTCAAAAAAAAAATTGATTTTTATTTTTTTTTTCAGCGAATTTTACAAAAACCTGCGATTTTTATAAAAAAATTCAAAAAAAAAATTGTGATCTCTAAGTATTTGTTTATGCATTTTTATGATTTTTTAGGGTTTTTTTGTTTTCCAATAACCCTCCCTATATATATATATATATATATATATAGATATATATATATAGATATATAGATATATATATATATAAATATAATATATATATAAATTTTTTATATGTACTTGTATTTTGTTGTATTATATATTAATTTTACATAAATAATTAAATTAAAACCCACAACATTTAACTACTCGGCCCAATCCTAATTTCTTTTGTGAACTAGTAAATAAAGCCCAATTGAAAAAACAAGAAGTGTCCAATCTAATCCAAGAGTCCAGACTCCGGATGGGAAGTAAGTCATGTAACGTCGTAACCTAATCGCAAAAACGCAAACTCGAATCGAACTCGTCGTTTCTCTTTCGTTGTTTCTATCTTCACTGTCGTTGACTTGTAGCCAACTAAGACTCTGAGACGGTTTCAGCCCTCCGACTACACCTCGCCGGCTCGTCGCCTTCGCCTGCAGCAGCTCCACCTTCGTCTGCAATAGCTTCGCCTCCGCCTGCAACAGCTCCTCTTCTAGCTTACAGCTTCGTCGCTCCTTCTCTGATAAGGTATGTTATGTTCAGAACATAAGGTATGTTATGTTCTGATCAAAGCTAATACACCACCAATCAATCATTAATTCATTTAGATATCAAAGCTTTAGGTTCTATGTGTTTAGATTCTGATTCATACTCAATATTTTGGTTCTCTGTGTTTTTTTTTATTCAAAATGCTTAACAACTTAACATCATAGATTCACAGTTCTAGAGCATCATGTCAAAACATCAATTATATGGTTAACAACTTACAATTGCTAGAGATATCTTATCATTATATGTGGATAAAAAGAATAAGTTGAAAGAGCTTTTACGAAAATCTTCACAATTTGTTTGTCTTACAATTGATGCATGGACTTCATGTCAAAACATCACTTATATGGTTTTAACAGTCCATTACATTGATGTAGAATGGAAATTGCAAAAAAGAAGTTTGAATTTTGAAGTTATTTCTAATCATAAGGGTGACACAATTAGTAAGATGGTTGAGAGTTCTCTAATTACATGGGGTATTGAGAAGGTTTTTACAATCACGGTGGATAATGCAAGCTCTAATGATACAACTATTTCCTTTCTGAAAAAGAAAATACAAATTTGGGGACATGCGGTTTTAGATGCTCAATACTTGCATATGCGTTGTCGTGCTCATGTGTTAAACTTGATTGTGTGTGATGGGTTAAAAGATGATGATCTTGCAATTCAAGTTATTAGAAATGTTGTGATGTATGTTAGATCCTCGCTTTCAAGGTTGGGTAAGTTCAAGGAATGTGTGAAGATAGAAAAGTTAAATGTTCCAGGAACTATTTGTTTAGATGTTTCCACTAGGTGGAAATCCACTTACTTGATGTTGGAGTCAGCTTTGAAGTATGGAAAAGCATTTAATCGGTTGGAAGAAGATGGACATTATGCAAGGTTTTTTTAATGTGGGTCCTAGTAGCTTGTTGAATGAAGTAGACGCAAAAAAAAAAGTATGATGTCACTAAAGTTGTTAAAGTGGGTCCTAGTAGTGTATGTAGATGTTCTTGATCCTCGATACAAGTTAAAATATGTCAATTGGAGTTTGGAAGAAATGTACCATATTTATGATATTGCCGACTTGAAAAAAAAGTTAAAAGCCACTTTGACTTGACTTTATGACTTTTATTTGGAAAAACATCCTATGCATGCAAAATATAAGATTTTAGGAAAAATATAAGGCACATTTGGAAGATAAAAAAACAGGAGAATTGAGTGAGCTTCAAATATATTTGTCAGATAATCAAGAGCCAAGTTATGAGTTATTTGACTTATTGGATTGGTGGAAGACAAATGAAGCAAAATATAAGATTTTAGGAAAAATTGCAAGGGATGTCTTGGATGTTCCAATTTCTACAGTTACTTCGGAATCCACATTTAGCACGGAGGGTAGAGTTTTGGATTCATTTAGGAGTAGTCTTTCTCCTAAAACAGTGCAAGCACTTTTATGCACAAAAAATTGGATTCGGGGTGTGTTTAATAAAACTGCAAAAGTTTGTTATGAAGATGTGTTGAAAAAAATTGAAGACCTTGAAGAAATGGAAAATGGTAAGTTTTCAAATTTTAAAAAGTTATACATTTTCTCTTAGTTATTATTTCTAACAAAATATAACTTGTATTTCAGATTTTGCAAGCAAACTTAATATTTGCACCGACAATATCGATTGAAAGGTACTTTTCTTCTCATGGTTTTATATTGAATTAGGCGAATCCTCGCGCGTTGTGCGCATATATAATTACTTAATTTAAAATAATAAAATTTTACAAATTGTGATTTAATATTTATACATGCAAAAAACAATGTCATTAGCAAAATAAATGTCACACCCCCAAACCAGAACGACGGAAACGTTCGGGGGCGGAGGACGTCATGTACAGTATCATAACAATTGAATAGTAAAGAAAGTACACACCACCATAATATAAATATATTTGAAAAGTTTAAATGATTGTATGTGTTATATGTTTAAATATCAAATACAATATGGTGATCCAAAATATGTTACTAACGTCAGCGCGTTAGTCTTCAAAAAGTAGTTGCTACCTGACTTAGCGTTTTCCTGAGAATACAAGTTATTTCAAAGAAAAAATGTCAAACAACAAAGTTAGTGAGTTCATAAGTAGTGTTTTGATAAAATGTATGCCATTCGAAAGTTCGTGTATGTTTTCCAGAAAATCCGATATTTTCTAACAAATGTATGATATGAGTATGAAAGATCGTTGTATAAACTGTATGTATTTGAACCAGGAAAATCCTATATTTTCCTAAAAGTGAAATGTAGTCTCAAATGTCCAAGACCGTAACCTGTAAGAAAATATGACATGCTCAAAAGATGATGTATAGTCTTATTATAAAACAAAACTACAAGAAGATTTGTATTTGAATGTGAAAAGAACTGTATTTGTTACTTTTCCCCATTAAAACGTAATACCATAATAATTGTCTATCCAATGAGTTTTTATAACCGTACTATCATAGTTTGCCTGTAGCGACGTTCTTCAGGCGTCGAAATGAGATGACACTTGTCACCCCGGGGACTGTAGCTAGCAGTCAGGGCGCGGGATCATTAGTCCCGTATAGATCTATACACACTTGTCACGTTCTCCGGACGGGAGATTCTGGTTATAAACAGGACTTCTAGTGGTACCTTTAAAAGGTATATTGAAGATGAATGCCTCACGAATTCTCAATTAAGTCACGTATTAAAATGTATATGTTTGTTTCTGTAACGATTATCCTTTTTCATAATGATAATAAAGGCATAAAATGATTTGTATGTTCTTGTATGTATAAAGATGTCATAACGAAAGTGGTTACCCTAAATATGATGTAAACGTATAAATAGAGCTTATGATATTTATACTCATATTCCATTCTGTGAGGGTAAAGTAAAGTAAGATGTTTTGTATGTTAGACATGATCCATGTGATAGTTATTAAAAACAGTCTGAAATGTATAACGAAAGATAGATGTTTTCCACACAGGATTAACCGTTTGTTTACTTGTATTCTCCCCCGTAAAGTGTTCAAAAGCATTTAAAATCAGTTAAAAGCGTAGAAATGGGGGTATGAACTCACCTGATAGAAGTGGTGAGTTGAAGAAGGCGAGACTAAACTCGGGCAGTACTTCGACTGGAAAGAAGCAAGTTCCTCGGGAACTACGGGACTTCGAGCCTTGCGTCGTGTGCTAGGGTTGTTTTCGGGGCTTCGGGGTGGTCTCGGGATGCTTAACACAGAGTAGAAGTGGGAGAGAGGATGGGGTTGAGCAACCAAAGTCGGAAGGCTTAGATTTCTATATATAGCCACCATTTTGACATTCACGTCGTGAGTTTTGCATAACTCACGTCGTGAGTTTTGGTCCCGAATCGTCATGGCATGCGTCACTCGTCAACTTGCTCTGGAAGGGTCATTCAGACTGTTCACGTCGTGAACTTTAGTGTTCACGTCGTTAACACTGACAAATCCTGACACAGCGTCGAAAATCGTGCCTCGAACTTCAAAAATTCATATCTTTCGCATACGAGCTCCGTTTTCGACGTTCTTTATATCCACGCGTAGGTGAGATTATGCTCTACAACTCTCGTTTAGACTTCGTTGGCTAATTTTGACTTTATTTTTAATATTACATTTTTAATAGGTCGGG